GAAAGAAGCATCTGTGCAGAAGCACTTTCTGTTGCTTCCTGACAAACTGAGGATCACTAGGACTCTGGGGTAGGAAACTTAGACGTTGGGAAAGAACGGCTCCCATACGTACTTGGCTGCTGCCCTCTCTGGCACCGGGTTGGACATGTTAATGGGTTGTGGATTTGATCTTGTGGCCTCTGGCTTCCTTTGAGATGGAGTAAAGTTCCTTGTTGTCAACCTGCTACGAAAAGCCAAAGTGGGCTCTTTTGACCTTTTACCAAGCCCACAGCTGCTTGTGCACCACCAGTTGACGGATGCCCTGTCCATCACTAGATTTATACGGGGACATGGTTTATTGGCAGGCTAAAGCCAGAGGGGATTATTGGAACGTTTCCATTATTCAAAATTGAAAGGACTTCCGTATCTGATAGAGTGAAGGATGTTTATGTGATTTGTAGCTTTCCTGGTTCCCAAGGTTAATCTTAATATTTCTGTTCTTTTTGAACTTACATTTAGGTTGTGCGAGGACACTACAAAGGTCAGCAGATTGGCAAAGTAGTCCAGGTTTACAGGAAGAAGTACGTCATCTACATTGAACGAGTGCAGCGAGAGAAGGCAAACGGCACAACCGTCCATGTGGGCATTCACCCTAGCAAGGTAGGTGTTGTTGAGAATGCTCGCGAGAAGAGAAGGAAAGTACAGGAAGTGTTGGCAGATGTGATGGCTTGTTTGCAGGGCCATGTTACCTTTCTCGCAAAAGCTACTGTGAACAAATCTTAACATCCAGGAAATAGGGTGGTTTTCCTATTAAATGGAGCTGGTAGCCTCTTCACTTCTAGTATTAAAGCCGAGTAAACAGGGCGTCTGGGTGGCTCAGTCAGTTAAGTGTCCGACTCTTGGTTTTGGCTCAGGTCATGAGATCGAGCCCTCCTTCGGGGCTCCCCGCTCAGCACAGTGTGACTGAGACTCACTTTCCCTCTGCCCCCTCCCACTATGTGCTGTCTCGCTAGTGCTCTCTTGCTGGCTCTCCCCCCACACCCCCAAAAATTTAATCTTAAAAAGATAAAGCCAAGTAATCAGTGTGGCAGCTTTACAACCCTGCAAAGTATTAATGGGGAAAAAAACTGAAGCCCAGAAACTAAGATCTTGTCATGGGTAGTGGTAGTGTTTGAGCCAGGATAGAAAAGTCCGGTCTGTTTCCCATAGTACGTACCTGTTCGGGACTTGGATATGAATTCTCTGCTATTTCAGTCTCTAATTTCTCTCTTCCAATTTTTAAAAGATCTTATGCTGCCATAAATCTTTTTTCCGAAGTACGGGAAAGCTGAAGGATTGGTGTGGCAAAATTCCTGCATCTCTTTCACCTGGAATTCCTAGTAATATTTTCCCTACCCCCAGTGGATTATAAGCATCATGACGCTTCCCTCTGATTCCTTTAGTATGTGTCTCCTGAGAGCAAGGACTTTGCTGATTTCTAGCCTTCGCCAGTCCTGTGTCTGAAACACCAGTAGATCAGCCGTGGTCCGGGTCACCAATCCAGTGATAGATTCTTAGTCTTTCCAAGGTAGCACAGCATGGGACGTAACAGTTTCCTTCGCTGTGGCTCAGTGATCGTCTTCATCTCTTTATTTCAGTCTAAGGACTTCAGGCCTCTAAAGGCAGAGGACTCAGTTGTCTTATTTTGGATTCCTGATTGATAACCTCAAACCTGATGTGTTCAGACTTAAGATTTGGTCCACGGTTTGCCACCATCACAGTGTATGGCAGCTCTATCCTCCCATTTGTTCAGGACAAAAATGCCATTTATTGTTTATATCTCCACCCCACCCCACCCATTGGCTGGTGCACGTTATACCCAGAATCCCATCTGTTTCCAGTGTGGCCTACAAGGCCTTCCTTGACCCCCTCACCAGCCACTTGTAGACGGCCCCTCTTTGTGACCTAGTCTGCCGGCCGCCTCGCGCCTCCCACAGCCTTGCGGCTACTCACTGTGTCTGCTGTTACATCACCTGGCCACTTGACAGAATTCCAGATTCTGTCCCCAGCTTTACTGGGGGCAGGATCCAGGGATCTGTTTTAACAAGCTCTCCGGTTGAGTCTTAGGCTCACTTGAAAAACGCGCACCTATAAAACTTTTTTTTAAGTTCTCCTGCCTCTGGACCTTTGTACTTGCTGTACTTTTACCAAAACAATTCTTCACTTTCCTCAGATGTTCACCTTTCTTTTCAGGTGTTTGTCTTTTTTGTTTTCTATTAATGAAATACATTTGACCTAATGTGTAAATTGAAGGTGTGTAAGATAGATGTTAGTTTGGTAGATTTGTATATAAAAGGATTGGCATTGTAGCGATAATTAGCACTTCTAACATACTACGTAACTATTTTTAGTAGTTGGAGTAACGAAGTTCTGGTCTCTTAGCAAGTTTGATGATTATGAGACAATATTGTGTATGTATCACTGCTGCACATTATATCTGTAGCACTTACGGTTTGTAAGTTTATACCCTTAACATCTGTCCTGTCCCCCATCCCTTACTGACCATTTTATTCTTGTTGTCACAGTTGGACTTTTTACGGTTCCACATGTCCCCAACATCATACAGTACTGACGTTGGACGTCTCTCACTGTAACACGCTCGAGGTTTCAGGTGTCCTCATGTAGCCTTGTCTCTTGGGCCTTTTTTAATCACCCCATAGGACTTAGCCCCTGCTCGTCAGCTGTCCTCCCCCATATTGCCCTGTTTCTCTGTGTATCAGAGCCTGACGTACCTCCACTTAACTTTGTTTTCTCTGTCCCCATATAAAGTACAGGCTCCATGATGGCAGCGATTTTCTCTTTTGGTCGTTTTATGCTGTGTTCCCAGACCTGGTTTATTGCCCTTTTCCCGTTCCTCACCTTCCTTCATAAGACCTAAATCCACCATCACCTGGAGACCTTTAACAATTAGATTGGTCACAACAAGATATCTGTACTGTGGTTTTGTGGGTCGAAGCTACATTTACATTCCAACTTGATGATTCTCAAGTAATAGTAGAAACAACAATGTGTATGACTTGGTTAGCCTGTGAAGCTGGTAACTGTGTAAAGCTTAGAAGTGTTTTGTTTTTCTGCAGGTGGTTATCACCAGACTAAAACTGGACAAAGACCGCAAAAAGATCCTTGAACGTAAAGCCAAATCTCGCCAAGTAGGAAAGGAAAAGGGCAAATATAAGGAAGAAACAATTGAGAAGATGCAGGAGTAAAGTAATCTTATGTGCGACTTGAAATAAAAACTGTTAAAACGAAGAGCCTTTACTTCCTGTGCGGTGCTTGGGGAATACCACCTCCCTTCCACTGGATGGGTTTTCGGGAGGTCGGTGGCATTTGCTCCCTGGAGGCAGGCTGCCCCGTCCTGTGGCTTGATTCTGCTAAAGAAAAGTCCTGTTTAAGTAGAGTGGGTTTTTCCATTTGGGCACCAGCTCTTTTTTTTTTTTAAGATTTTATTTATTTGAGAGAGAGAGAATGAGAGAGAGCAAGCACATGAGAGGGGGGAGGGTCAGAGGGAGAAGCAGACCCCCTGCCGAGCAAGGAGCCCGATGCGGGACTCGATCCCGGGACTCCAGGATCATGACCTGAGCCGAAGGCAGTCGCTTAACCGACTGAGCCACCCAGGTGCCCCATGATTTTATTTATTTATTTGAGAGAGAGAGAATGAGAGAGAGAGAGAGCACATGAGAGGAGGGAGGGCCAGAGGGAGAAGCAGACTCCCCGCCGAGCAAGGAGCCCGATATGGGACTCAATCCGGGGACTCCAGGATCATGACCTGAGCCGAAGGCAGTCGCTTAACCGACTGAGCCACCCAGGCGCCCTGGGCACCGGCTCTTTAATCATCGAGAGTAACAAAATCCTGAAACTGGGGCTGATAGTGGGGTTTTCCCCGTTTTTACAGCAGGCAGCATTAGGGGGACATCCGGCTCACTGAGAAGGCCCAGGTAAAAGCCCTGTGGGCTACTGCCTTGAGCCTGCCGTGTTGGGCGACGAGTGTGTAAGTGTGCGTTTGGCGTGCTCCCAGGGTTTTTTGCGTAAAAGGGACATTGCCTGTGTAGAAGCGAGGAGCCGCTGTGATTCGCGGCAGCGCCTGGACCACTGTCCCCGGCTGTTCCCTACCGTCTTGGGTGCGCCGATGCCGCCCGGAGGGGTGCCATCACGCCAAAATCTCGGAGCGGAAATGCTCAGGTTGCAGTTTGAAGTAAGAAATGTTCATCTGAAACGTAGGTTCTCGGGGCTCCCGGGCTCCGTAAGCGGGTGCCGTAGCTGGACTCGTTTTGGATGAAGCTTCCAGAGGCAGAGAGGAGACTGCAGCTTCCTTTCCCAAATTTGCAGGCTGCAGGCTTTGCAACAACGTGGGGAAAATCACCGGTTCTGCCGCGGGGGGCCGGGGTCAGTGGCTCGCTCTGCGCAGGCACCCCCAGCCCCGGGACCGCCAAACGACAGGCGGCGCGGGACCCTCGCGGGACCCCGTCCGGAGCGTGGAGAGGATGCCGGGCGGCCCGCGGCGTCGGGGGCGGGGCTTCCGGCCGCGCGGAGCGGCTTCCGGTGCGAGCGGCGTCGCCGGCTGGAGTCCGGCCAGCGGCGGGGTGGGAGCGGAAGGGCCCCGACGCCGCGGCTCCCGGCGCTTCGCCCTCGCCGCCCGGGCCTCTCTCGTCCCCCCCCGACCGGCCTGGGTTCGAGGGCCGCCGGCCCTCCCGCCTCTCCCCGGCCTCGCTCATTGGTTCAGCCCCGAACTGGCCGCCCTCGGGGCGGGGCGGGGTGGGGGTGGGGGCGCCGAGCCCGCGGGGGTGCAGGGAGGAGGCCACGCACGCTGGGGAGGCTGCTCCCCAGGAGCGGACGGGAGGTGCAGGGGGGGCGCCGAGCCCGCGGGGGTGCAGGGGGGCGCCGAGCCCGCGGGGGTGCAGGGGGGGGCGCCGAGCCCGCGGGGGTGCAGGGGGGAGGCCACGCACGCTGGGGAGGCTGCTCCCCAGGAGCGGACGGGGGGTGCAGGGGGGGCGCCGAGCCCGCGGGGGTGCAGGGAGGAGGCCACGCACGCTGGGGAGGCTGCTCCCCAGGAGCGGACGGGCTGTCCGCCGGGACGTGCGGGGCAGCTCGGCGAAGCGCTTCATCTGCGTTATCCCCGCGCCTGCGTCCGGAAACCAGTACCTCGCCCGGTTGTGGCCGAGGGAGCCGACGACGCCCCAGTAATCTGCCCTCCCCGTGCGCGGCCTCGCCGCGGCACCCGTGCGCCGAATGTCTGCCTGACGTCCTCCGAGCATCTCTCGCCTCGGCTCTGAATCCCTTGGCCTAGCCCCTACCTGCTCGGCTGCGTACACCTGAACCAGTCGACTACAAACGCAAAATAAAGTGCTCCAGAGCCCGGGCTCTCCAGAGGACGGAGAGGTGGCAATCGGCTGGAGCCGCCGGATGCAGCAGGGAGGCGGCTGAGCTGAGCTGGGCGGGGTTCGCAAGACCGGTGAGAGGACCTGCCGGGTCTGCGACGCCAAAGCGAAGACTCCCAGGTGGGTGAGGAAGGGAGACGGCTCCGGTTGGCTCTAACCAAGGTCGTTTATCAGTCACCCCACCGTCACAGATCGCGCCGGGAAACGCAACCCAGTTCTTGCATGCTGCTGTGGAACAGGTGTTGAAGACCTAGATAACCGCAGGGATGGGCAGATAAGGCGGACACGTTACTAGGGCGCCTGGAGACGCTGGGAAACGGGAGAGTGCAGGCTCTTCTAACCAGAGCTGCAACCAGCCAAGCAGCAAAGCTCCCAGGGTGGCCAGGTGCTCCCAAAATCCAAGAAGGTCGGTCAAGATTCTTCTATGAAATCCCCCCATCTGAACGTATAGGTAAATCATTCTCACTCTTCAAAAAACAAACACTGATGGACTAACCAAAATAGGTCTGTTAGCTAACTGGCTTTACCCGGCATAGTATAAGGACCGTGTCTCATATTAAAGACTGAGATTTTGCATCTTTTGATCATGAATTATTTCCAGCCTGTCTTCATTCTTTTATAGGATGGAGATGAGGCTTTTCCTTCCTTTGCAGTCCCTCTCTCTGTCAAATAAGTCTTAAAAATCAGTAAATAATTGTGACTAGTAGATGAAACAAACTGGTTTATTTACTGCAGAACTTCTCAGAGCCTTTATTTATTTTTTAAAATATTTTTATTTATTTGACAGAGAGAGTGTACAAGCAGGGGGAGGGGCAGGCAGAGGGAGAAGCAGGCTTCCCGCTGAGCAGGGAGCCTGACACGGAACTCGATCCCAGGACCCTGGGATCATGACCTGAGCCGAAGGCAGACACTTAACTGACTGAGCCACCCAGGCGCCTTCAGAGCCTTTAAAATGTCCGTTTACACTGAGGATCTTGAGCTCAGACTTAAACAGCGTTTGCAAACATTCTATTTCTTCAACACTAAAATGTATGTTTTCCAACATAGTTAATTTGGATGTGTTCATTTAACGTAGGTTCTCTGCTTTTTCCCCTCAAAAGAAAGTCATCAGAAAGTCAGTGGTTTTATAGTCAGCAGTGTCTTAGAATCCAGTGATGCTGAGCATGGGAGTTTGAAGCCTTTTTAATGGAGAACCTTCAGGACCTCAGCTTAACCAAGACTCTTGCTCAGAGCTTTGAAACCTTCTCATCTTTCTCTGCTTTTCAGGATTCTGCCCTGCCCCTCGGCTCTGCATCTGATGGCTGGGATTCCAGGGATCTTGTTTTCCCCCAATTGTTGTTACCCCTGTTATCATCATGTGAACTCTTTCCCTGGCCGCATCACCATCCTACAACCTGGAGTGGTCCTAAGGAATCTCAAGTTGATTGTCAAGCTCACTCCCTGAGGAATTCTCCGATCTTGGTAGAGTGTGGACCATCTGGCGTACCTCTTTTTGGCATGATAATCTGACAAATCTCTATGCACGTAGGTGCAGTTTTTCCATTTCTGGGAACAGACCCTGCCACCTCTGTTCAGGGCCATCAGGCCTGTACCGGAAGGTTTCTCCCAGTCTTGGAATACTCAAGTTCACTTGGACTCTCTGCTTTGTTCTGGAAGTATGTGGGCCTCAGCTCAGGCAGGGTCAAAACAGTCTAGGCCTGCAGACCTCCCAGGAGGGCAGAACTTGTTTTCCTCAGCCACGAAGCTGGACTCATCTGGTTGGATAGGAGACCATTTCCTGACTTCTGTTACCTTCCTTGTAATATTCACGTGACTCACATTCCAAGTCAGTTATGCTGGCTGCCTTCATTCCTGGTACCCTCCACTGTCTCTCCCCCAGTCCTGCTGCGGCCGCTCCGTAGCCCAGGCCCCAGGAATGGTCCCTGTGGCAGCAGCTGGTGTCATTTCAAGAGGTAGCGACATCTGAGGAGATGACCAAAGACTGGAACTGTTTGAAAGGTCTGCTGCAGGGACACAATGCTGGACAGTTACGAGAACGTGGTCCCTCAGGGTAAGGACTCAGAATCTTCATTCACTAACCCCCTGTACCATCAAAAGGGGAAAACTATCATTCAAAAAGTTCCCACTACTTTCTCCTTGTTTCTCCTAAAATGAGCACAGACTCTTCAGCCACAAGAAATTAATTATGTTGGGGACACCTGAGTGGCTCAGTCAGTTAAGCGGCTGCCTTAGGCTCAGGTCATGATCCCAGGGTCCTGGGATCGAGTCCCGTATCAGGCTCCCTGCTCAGTGGGGAGCCTGCTTCTCCCTCTCCCCCTGCTCATGAGCTCTTTCTCTCTCTCTCTCACTCTTTCTCTCAAATAAATAAAATCTTTAAAAAATTAAAAAAATAAATTGTTGGCTTTTTAGCCTTCCTAACTTCAAGTTCAGAGTTTGCTCTCATCATGTACCTTCCAGCAACATTCTTCCATTTATATTATTTTAAAAGTTACTGAGGGAGGATATTTGTCTACTGCCTTAAGCATTTCCATGTATCCTCTCTCCTATTCGATTAATAAATAAAGACCAGTTAATTAGGTTTCACTTTATGAGCTAACAGTTTCATTTATTCTGTTTGCCTGAAGTCTAAAATTACTACATATTTCTATATATATCTCAAAATTCTTTTGACCTGCTCTGGTTTTGAGCGATCTTAGTTGGCTTCCTAGTTGCTTTATTCTGTTACCGCTTTATACTATGTTATCTTTCTTCTGTGTGGTAATCTTCAAAAATCAGATGGAAGAATGAGGAACTGCGGAGGGAAAGTCTCCTAGAAGGAATATCGGCGATTTTAACTCCGTTTTCTCTCTCCCTTTCTTAGGCTCCTTCTTACAGTTCTCCACGATGCCCCAGAAAGCTGGAAATGACCCCCCTGGTGTTTCCGCTACAAGTGATCTGGAAATGGAGATATATAACATGAGAGAAAAGTTTCTTAAAAGCGTGACAAAGTTAGTAGAAAGCAAAAGTTACAATAGCAAGGTATTTTCCAAAGAAAAGTACTTTCAAACGATAAAGGAAGTCAAGGAAGCTAAGGAAAAGGGGAAGAAGTCCTCGCGTGACTACCGCCGTGCAGCAAAATACGACGTGATCTCTGTGCAAGGCACAGAGAAACTGATAGAGGCGACCCATGGAGAACGGGATCGAATTCGGTATTACGTGCATAAGGAAGAGTTGTTTGATATTCTCCATGATACGCATCTCAATATTGGGCACGGCGGGCGGACACGCATGCTCAAAGAGCTACAAGGAAAATACGGGAATGTCACCAAAGAGGTCATTGTCTTGTATCTGACACTCTGTAAACAGTGCCACCAGAAGAACCCGGTACCCAAGAGAGGTCTTGCCCCCAGGCCCATGGCTTTTAAGGACACTGACTCCAGATGCCAAGTTGAAGTACTTGACATGCAGTCAAATGCCGATGGTGAGTTCAAGTTTATTTTATATTACCAGGACCACTTGACCAAGTTTATTATTTTACGGCCGTTAAAAGCGAAGCAGGCCCATGAGGTGGTCAGTGTCCTACTGGACATTTTCACGATTCTTGGTACACCTAGCGTTTTAGATTCTGGCAGTGGCGTGGAGTTCACAAACCAGGTTGTTCATGAGCTCAATGAAGTATGGCCGGACCTAAAGATGGTGTGTGGTAAGCAGCACCCTGGCCAGGGCCCGGGCTCCCTGGAGCAAGCCAGCCATGACGTCAAGAACATGATAAATGCCTGGATGCAGAGTAACCACTCACGTCGCTGGGCCGAAGGCCTGAGATTCATGCAGATGGTGAGGAATCAGCTGTTTGACATGTCCCTGCAGCGAAGTCCATATGAAGCAATGTTTGGTTTTAAGGCTAAACTCGGGCTGTATTCCTCAGACTTACCCCGGGAAACTGTGGCTGTCTTACAAACAGAGGAGGACCTGGAAATTGCCGAAGAACAGCTAGAAAGTAGCCTTTGGATCAGGCAGGAAGAAAGGGCTGAGGTTGGAGCAGACAGATCTGATATGGATGAGGACCTCAATCCCTCCGCTCCGGAAGCTGCAGAGCCCAGCACCTCACAGGGGGCCCTCTTCTGCTGGTGACCAGGCCATCTGAGAAATGCTGCCAAATTCCCTGGGGAAAGGAACGTGAAGGCTGGACTCTCCCATCGGTCAAATTGTCCATGGCAGTCCTTGCTCAAAGGGGAAAAACGGGTCGGGTGTGTGACCTGGGGCCACCATGACAAACAACCACAACCTTGGCAGCCTAGAACAGCAGGAATTTATTCTCTCATCGTTCTGGGGGCCAAAAGTTCAGAATCAGGGTGTCAGCAGGGTTTGCTCCTTCTGGGGGCCCTGAGGAAGAGTCCATCCCATGCCCCTCTCCTTCCTCTGGTGGTTGCTGGCAATCCTTGGCTTGTACAAGCCCAGTCTCTGCCTCGTCTTTCTGTGGGTCTCCACATGGCCTTCTCCCCTCTGTCTCAGTGTGTGTTCTCCTTTTCCATCTCTTAGAAGGACACTATTGGATACCAAATCCACGTCTTTGAGTTTAAGGCCCACCCCAGTCGAGGATGATCTCATCTCGAGAGCCTCCCCGTAATTATATTTGCAGAGACCCTTTTTCCAAGTGAGGTCAGATACGCAGGTATTGGGGGTTTGGCCCTGGGCATATCTTTCTGGGGGACAGAGTTCTACCAACTACCGTCAGAAGAAGGGTGTATTTGCCTGCAGAATATGAACTGATGGGGTCTTAAGTGTATAGAGCTGGTGGTGGTGCCCTCCATATATCTCCCACGCATTCCTTCTCCTGCCAAATCCTGCTCCTCAGACAATACCCCCAAAATTGGGAGCATCAGAGGAGAAGATGTAGATGAAGCACAAGTAACAAGAAAAGAGGTTGGTCCAGCATACCCTGGAGACTGGCCACCTTGGCACCTGCACTCTATTTCCAGCTTCAAGAAAAACCATAGGTGCCATCCCTGCTCTCAGAACGGCACGCCTAGGGAATGGTGTGACCTGCCTGGAACATATTTTAAAAGTTGGCCAGAATTAAGACATGGCTGGGATTTGGGTCTGAGTCTGCCAGTTGTCTCTGCCTCAAGAATAGAAAAGCGTGTCTTTCTGGAAGAGGTCAGTACATTCCAGGAAATGACCGGTCACCAGAGACTCTGGAGCAAGGGGCAAATATGGGCCAGAGGTCCCTGCTCCGGCCAGAGAAGACTAGAGCAAGGGCCAGTCTGGGTCATGGTTCAGGGTAAGAAGAACTGACCTGGCCAAGGAGAAGGATAATGCCCTGGATCTGTGTACTGCTGTGTTCCCACGGCCTAGACGAATGCCTAGCCTTTCGGAGGTGTTCAGTAAGGATTTGTCATGGGAACGAATGGTTCTGCAGAGATGGGCACAGGAAGGAGGGGGGCCTGGTCTTTATTCCCCCATGCACCCTTCCCGCATATCCTGGAGCCATCCAAAGCCCATACTGATGGCCCCTCAAGCCAGTTTCCTCCTCCATAAGGGGCAGGACCTACCCCTACCACCTACAGAGGGCGAGACACTGCCTGCTTCACAGGGTGGTTGTGAGAACTCGTGAGAGAATGTGAAGGCCTTTGTCTAAACACTGAAGTTCTACCACGTGAGTTGTCCTTGCTACCAGCGGGGCCGGTCTCCCACATGAAAGCTGGAGGCCTCTGCCCTTCCTTTGCTGGTTAAACAGTGTTGCAGGGAGGCTACATGATTATTATTAGGAAGGAGGTGATCGCACCTTCCACCTTGTTTCCGGGGGCCACAATCTTGCTCCATCCTTGGCCGGGACCTCACTCTGCATTGCTCCTTTGTCACCTGGCAGGGTCTCTTGGAGGCCTGGCTCGACTGTTGTTACCCACCCTCATGCTGACCTGCCACCTCATGGTTGCCGGGCAGACCAGGAACCGCATCATGGACCGTGCGGGTGAGAGGTGAGAGGAGGCTCAGCATCTCCGACTTCCCTGGGGAGGGGCTACAGATAACCCAGGTTTCCTGAGCTGCTGCATCGCCACTCTTCCTTCCCCTCTTACTTCGTAATATTGGTGGTGGGAGAGAGTTAGAGGTGGACACCAAGACCCGGCGTGGCCTTACTCTGCGTTTCAGCATCTGGAACAGAGGCTACTGGGGCACCACCAGATGCTTTCAGGGTGCGGATGTGGTTTGTGTGTGAAACTTAAAACAATCACCACCGTCACTCTCAAAACGAGATTGCATATACACCTCTTGAAAACTTGGAAAATCCGGCCACACCAGGCCCACGTCTTTGCATTGCAACAAAGGCCTGGAGCTCAGTGGTAGCCCCCAGGGGGCAGTATGTGCATGTCCTCCAGGCGGCCACCGTCTGGCCACGCAGAATACGTGCATGTGCATTTCTGTGGCCCGTTGCTGAAGAAAGGCACTGTGAAGTCATATTATGAACCAAGGCCAGAAACCAACCTCTGTTATCTTTAAGAATTTATGATGAGGGGCGCCTGGGTGGCTCAGTCGTTGAGCGTCTGCCTTCAGCTCAGGTCATGATCACAGGGTCCTGGGATCGAGCCCCGCATCGGGCTCCCTGCTCTGCGGGAAGCCTGCTTCTCCCTCTCCCACTCCCCCTGCTTGTGTTCCCTCTCTCACTGTGTCTCTGCCTGTCAAATAAATAAATAAAATCTTTAAAAAAAAAAAAAGAATTTATGATGAAAGTGGCATTCCACATCAGCAGGAGGGGTGGTATTAGTTCATGGTGCTAGATCAGTTAGCTGTCCATCAGAGAACACGAAGTCTGATTCCTAAAGAAGAAATGGAACTATAAAAATATTGGGGAAAAATGGGATTGTCATGATTTTGGAATGGAGAAAGCCTTCCTAAGCACTACATGAAATTCAAAAGCCATAAAAGAAAAGGCTGATATACTTGCCCTCATGAAAATTTTCAAATATCTATGGGAAATACTGCCGTTTAAAAAGTGAACAAAGATAAGTGACATTGGGAGAAAATATTTGCAACATCTAAAACATCCTAATTTTTAAAAAGGCTGCTTATAAATGAATAATGGGAAGAACAGCCAATAGAGAGCAAACAGAGGCTACCCACAGAAGAAAAAGAAACGGGTAGTCAATGCTTCACGTGCCTGCGTGCAGCTGTGGGTGATCGAAGAACCCTGGGCTTGTCATCAGAGCAGGGCTCTCCATTTCAATGAAACACAAGTTATTTGAGAATCTTAATGTTCTCCATTGTGCATGTAGAAGAGACACGGGCCTAGTGATCCTGTCTTGATTGAACAAACCTTAAGGAGGTACAGTGATTGCTACATTATTTTCAAGACAGCTGTATTAGTTTCCTGGGGCTGCCCCCAACAAACTGGGGGGCCGAAAGAACAGAAATGTATTGTGTCACAGTTCTGGAAGCCAGAAGTCTGAGATCAAGGTGTCCGCAGGGTTGGCTTCTTGCCAGGGCGCTGGGGAGACTTCCATGCCCCTCATAGCTTCTGGAAGCCTCAGGTGTCCCTGGGCTTGCAGATGACATTCTTTCCATTTCTTCGTATCTGTGTGTGTCTGTGTCTGAATCCGTGTCCAAGGGTCCCCTTCTAAGAAGGACCCCATCATGTTGGATTAGGGCCCACCCTAGTGATGTCATTTCAGCTTGATCGTCTGCATCCTTATTTGGCAATAAGGTCACATTCAAAAGTACTGGGAGGTATGCCTTCATCTTTTTTTGGGGGGTGGGTCCACCCCCCAAAAAAAGATGTGGGGGATACAGTTCAACCCAGAGCAGCAAGCAATCAGAAGGACAGTTTATTTTCAGAGGTAATTTTTTTTTTTAAAGATTTATTTATTTGAGAGAGAGAGAGACAGAGAAACAGCATGAGAGGGGAGAGGGTCAGAGGGAGAAGCAGGCTCCCTGCCGAGCAGGGAGCCCGATGTGGGACTCGATGCCGGGACTCCAGGATCATGACCTGAGCCGAAGGCAGTTGCTTAACCAACTGAGCCACCCAGGCGCCCTTCAGAGGTAATTTTTATGCAGTGTAGCAACAATTTCTAAAGTCTTGGGAGACTTAACAAAATCCCAAATAACACTTGCAAGAGCAGATTATATTAACAGAAAACAAACAAAAAAAAATTGGTACCAGTTACAAACGTTCATGCAAATCTTCGTTTTACCCAGAAGCAAACTGTTGTTAAGAAAGATCTTAATACCTTGTCCTACTGGATCATTTGGCTTAGTTTTAATGATGCGGAATGCCATCTACCCCCACATCTGTCAGCGGGAGTGTTGCCACATCTTTCCTAGACTCCCTTTGTGACTTATTGGAGACTTGCATTTTTAGGGCCAATCTCTAGAATTCTGTTAGGAGGCCCATGGAGTTCAATTTTACTAGAATACAAGGGAGAGCGGGCTAACAAAGACTTCACTCAACAGTGAGGGAAGGAGTCTGTAGAATCTTTCTTCCACGGACCCCAAGCACTGCCTCTTGCATGCACACACCTGTAACCTTGACCGTCCCCTGAACTCCAAGCTCATCTGCGAGATGGAGCTGATGATAACCCCAACCTCCGGTGGTGACCGCACCTGGTACTACCATGGTGACCACCGAGTAAGGTATAGAATTGTTGAATCCACATGTTGTACACCCAAAACTAGTGTGGCATTGTATGTTGATGACGCTTCGATTAAAAAAAGCATTTGTTGGGCGCCCGGGTGGCTCAGTTGGTTAGGCGACTGCCTTCAGCTCAGGTCATGATCCTGGAGTCCCTGGATCGAGTCCCGCATCAGGCTCCCTGCTCGGCATTTGTTGAGTAATAATCCCCACCTCCCAGAGCTGTGATGAGGTTTATGGGAGGGGGCGTATGTATGGGTGTTGATCAGTGCCCGGCCCTTGCGCCCCCGGCCCTCTGCCTGTCCTCACACACAGCATTGTGCTCAGCCACAGCCGGCCCCGGTGTGCTGGGTCAGGACATGCTCAGCCCGTCAAGGTTGAGTGCGCCACTGCCATTCGCCTACCCTCGGAGTTCAGAAGTGCAGTAGAAAGAGCTACTCTGGTCCTCAAATACACTTCTGCTTTTTTGTGGGGGTTTATAGGGGATTTTGGGGGGTGGTTTTCTTGTTTGTTTTTGGCGGTGGGAACATCTGACATGAGATCTACCCTCTTACCAAATTTTTAAGTATACAATACAGTATTGTTAACTATAGGCAAAAATGTACAGATGTCTAGAATTTAGTCATCTTGCATAACTGAAACTTTATACCCACTGAATAGCAGCCCCCCATTTCCCCTCCCCCTAATCCCTGGCAACCACCATTCTGCTTTCTGCTTCTCTGTGTTTGACTATTTTGGATTCCTCATAGGACCAGAATCCTGCAGTATTTGTCCCATGTGACTGGTTTATTCACGTAATGCCCTCAAGGTTCATCCACATGGTCACATGTAGCAGGGTTTCCTTCTTTTTTGAGGCTGAATAAACCATTGTGGGCACATAGTACATTTTCTTTATCCACCCATCCATCAATGGGGTATGTGAGTAGCTTCCACGTCTTGGCTCTTGTGAATAAAGCTGCAGTGAACATAGGAGTGCAAATATCTTTCCAAGATCCTGATTTCAACTTGGGTAAATGTGTAGGAGTGGGGTTGTTGGATTATATGATATATCCATATTGAATTTTTTTTTTTTAGGAACCTCCATACTATTTTCCATAGTGGCTGCACCATTTTGCATTTCCCCCAACAGTATGCCAGAGTTCCTGTTTCCCCACATCCTCACCAACACTTGTTACCTTTTGGGTCTTATTGACGACATTCCTAACGGGTGTGGCGTGGTATCTCATTGTGGTTTTCATTTGCATTTCCCTGATGACTAATGATGCTGAACATCTTGTCATGTGCCTGTTGACCATTTGTATGTCTTCTTTGGAGAAATGTCTATTCAAGTCCTTGGCCTATTTTTAAGTTGGGCTATTTGGGGGTTTGGGTGGTAGTGTTTGGGGTGGTGGGGTTTTTTGTTTTTGGTTTTTTGGTTTTTTTGCTTTGAGTTGAAGGACCTCCTTATATTTTTTGGATATCAATCCTTTATCACTTAAATGGTTTGCAAATATTTTCTCCCATTCCATAGTTTGCCTTTTCACTGTGTCCTTCACTGTGCAGACACTTTTTAGTTTGATGTAGTCCCACTTGTCTCTTTTTGCTTTTGTTATCTGTGCTTTTGGTGTCATACCCAAGAAATCACTGCCAAGACCAATGTCATGAAGCTTTTCTCCTGTGTGTTCTTCGAGGAGCGTTGCCGTTCCAGGTCTGAACATTGATGTATTTAATCTATTCACTTCTGCTATTAACGGAGGGGGGAGAAGCTTATTTTCCAGCAATTCCAACCCTCATGTGACAGTGCTTGAAACACCAGAAAGAGCTACGCAGATGCTAATGGTACATTTCATGAGTTACCCTCCCAAAGGTCACCAGGGGACCCCCACTTCCTAGCCCATGGCTCCTGCTCAATCCTAATCCATCTTGGCTTCTTTGGGATGTTAAATCCACGTCAACTCTCATCCCACCTTCTTTTTTGTTTCCATGAAATGGAAATCTAGCGGGTTTTGTCCTACTTAGGACCACTCATGCATTCCTGCCTTGCTGCTACTCTCCCCCTCCTCCACTGAGATACTGTGTTCTGAGAACCTGGTTTTATTGTTCCCCTTTTGCTCATCCTCGACCATTTTTTTTCTAGTCTGTGTCAACTGGAAGACTTGTGTGTGCAGAACTCCCTCAACCCCCTCCCCAGCTCCAGTCTTCACACTACTTATGGTCTTCTCAGGGCCAGTACTCACCCCAGACATGCTGGAAAAGAGAAACTGAGGCACGTTAGCATTTGGAAGAGCCTATTGGCACAAACATCGATTTGAATTGAGCAATGTTGACCCCAAAGTGGTTAGGAGTGCTCACCTGACAGGAGCTGGGGCAAGGTTTTTGCAGGAAGTCACTGAAGCAAAGCAAGGCAATTATTTGGTTATCGCTTAAGCAGTCACCTTATTTAAGAAAGCCTAGTTGGCTGCTTGTGATGGGTTGTTCTTAAGTTTCACTTAGTTTCACTTCACTAAGTTTTGGTTTGCTTATGTAGACTATCACAGTGTTAGCGCCACCCCAGTCTAATGACCTCCTTGTTCGAATACTTTAACAATACCCTCTGTGTTCCCAAATTCTATTAATGGCACCACGGGATCACCTAAGGCACTAACCTCAGTCATCCTCAATAACTCATTCTTCCTCACTGGCTGCAGGCAATCATTGGCAGATGATGTCATTCCCTACCAGTGGCGTTATGTTTTCCAAGCATGGATGTGACCTCTATCTATAATGCATGCCCTTCTAGGGCGCCTGGGTGGCTCAGTCCGTTAAGCGACTGCCTTCGGCTCAGGTCATGATCCTGGAGTCCCGGGATCGAGTCCCGCATCGGGCTCCCCGCTCAGCGGGGAGTCTGCTTCTCCCCCTGACCCTCCTCCC